ATGATTGCCTATGATTCGGGGTCAGACTAGATAATCAACTGGGACTCTCTAGATGAGATTTTGGAAAAAAAATTCTGTCTGTTTCTCTTAGCTCTATGTACTGTAGTGCACGGAGGTTGCATTGATAAGCCCGCAGACTTTATGTACTGTAAACATTTTCTTTATCCTACCTATGTCCTGGAAACAATGTCTGCTTAGCAAAAAGTGCTGAATATTGTGAAACTAACTATACGAGAGAGGGAGGAGGGAGCGGTTTTCCCATATGCTGGGCATATTTGTAAGATCACGCTAAAAAGATGGACAGTTGCTTAATTCTGGGCTCAGCATCTTTGGAAATTTTTTTCCTGTTGAGCCTGCTAGCGTAATTTTGTGGGGGTTTTTTTCAGAATAAAACTCACTTTCCTTCAGTCTGTGGCGTCTCTCAGTCCTATTTTTCTGCTACAATTGGCCAACCGAAATGCGCAGTACACCTGTTGCAAGCTTTCGAAGCTCCACTGGCTTCTTCATCAGGGAAGGTGTAAAGAGAGTTGTATAACTGCTGAAAGCAGAGACCCCTAAAAAAAGAAGAGACCTTTTGTGGGCTTATGGGGCAATTCCTGACCAGACAGTCCCATGGCCCTTCACTTGCTCATACAGCGGGCCCTTGGCATCTATCTGCTGGGGTTTGATTCCCATGGACACCAAAATCCATGGATCCAAATAAAAATCCACCAAACAGTGATACCTTTATTGGCCAACTGAAATGCACAATATACTTGTTGCAAGCTTTCGAAGCTCCACTGGCTTCTTCATCAAGCAAGATGTTACAAACCAAGCAGGAGAAAAACAATTGGAGATGATAATCAGATGGCTGCATTTTGATGTTTCTGTCCTTAGCGAAGATGGTAAGTGGGGGATATCTTTTGCAGGCTGGCCATGTGGCTATTGGGAGATTTTCAAAGATCAGGAAATTTAAAGTCCATTTGCAACTCAACAAGGACCCCTCTCTTGCAATCCAATCTGTCTCCATTCCTGCCTCCAATTCAAGCCATGGGTGCTTGAATCCCGGGTTAAAAATCCGTGGATATGGAGGGGTGACTATTATCATCCTGAAGTAAAGCAGAACAAGGAAGAATCGCTATGGATGAAGGCTTGTTTGGGACTAGAGAATTTCCATGTGGGTTGGATGCAAACCTGTTCCTCTTGGAAATCTTTGACCTAATGTGTTATAAAAGTCAGATAACTGGATTTCGTGACTGTAAACAATGTCTTTCAGCATTGAGCCAGAGTGAATCGGGAAGGAAAGGGCAACCTGGAACCACAGGAAACATGCCGGGGTTGCTGTGTTGGCCATTTAGCAAATTCATACAAAAATCCACCAAACAGTGATGCCTTTATTGGCCAACCGAAATGCACAATATGCTTGTTGCAAGCTTTCGAAGCTCCATGGGCTTCTTTTTCATCAGGCAAGATGTTACAAACCAAACAGGAGAAAAAAATCGGAGATGATAGTCAGATGCCTGCATTTTGATGTTTCAGTCTTTAGTTAAGATGGTAAGGGGAGGGTCTCTTTTGCAGGCTGACCTCTCCTCTGGGCATGTGTCTATTGGGAGATTTGCAAAGCCCAGGAAATGTAAAGTCCATTTGCATCTCAACAAGGACCCCTCTCTTGCAATCTAATGTGCCTCCATTCCTTTGAGGTCATAGACCTCTTTGGAGGCCTTTTTGGAGTCCTCAAGGAGTCTTCATGTTTTTGCATCAGGAACATTTTGGCAGGTGTAGAGGTAAAACATGACGATCCAGTTCAAACCTTGGAACCAGAGGTTGAGAACAAACCTCTGAACAAAGCTTGCCAAGAAAACTCCAGGGTAGGGTCATAAATGACTTTGAAGGCCCAGGATCTTGAGCAAGTCACTCTCTCTCAGCCTCCTAAGGGGAAAGCAAGGGCAAACCTCCTCTGAACAAATCCGGCCACAAAAACCCCAGGATGATAGGGTCACCATAAGTCAGAAACGACTTGAAGACTTGAAGGTTCAAAGAAGGATTGCCCTAGCCAGAAGGTAGGTGCAGAGCAAAGTGGAAGAAGGCAAGAAAAAGCTAACTAAATACATAAGAGTGTGGCAGAGTGGTTTGAGGGTTAGATGGATTATGACGCCAGAGATCCATGGGTTTGAGTCCCAGCTCAGCCATGGAAACCCACTGGGGGACCTTGAGCAAGGCACGCTCTCTCAGCCTCCTCGGGTCAAGTAAGAGCAAACCTCCTCCGAACAAATCTTGCCAAGAAAACCCCATGATAGATGCTCACCTTAGAGTCGCCATAATTCATAAACACCTCTCAAGGCACGCAATAACAGGACCTTGGGCAAGTCATATTCTCTCAACCTCAGGGGATGGCAAAAACAACCTTGAACAGCTGTCATAAAGATAAGGCAAGGGCTTTGTAGGGATTTGAGTGTTGGATTGTGACGCTGGAGGCCAAGGCTTGGATCTCAGCTCAGCCATGAAACCTAATGGGGATCTTGAGCAAGGCACACTCTCTCAGCCTCAAGGGAAGACAAGGTCAATCTGGAACCTCTGAACAAAGCTTGCCAGGAAAATCCTAGGATAGGTGTTCACCTTCGGGTCACTACAAGTCATAACTTACTCTGAAGGCACAGGACCTTGGGCAAGGCACACTCTCTCAGCCTCTTAAGGGGAAGGCAAGGGCAAACTTCCTCTGAACAAATCTTGCCAAGAAGACTCCATGATAGATGCTCACCTTAGGGTTGCCATAAGTTATAAATGACTCTGGAGGTACACAGTAACAGGACTTTGAGCAAGTCACATTCTCTCAGCCTCAGGGGAAGGCAAGGGCCACCTGCAACTACAGTGACCAGATGTCATAACTGCAAAGGAGGACAAGGCCAGTGTGGTGTGGTGGGTTGAGTGACTCCAGAGATTTTATAAAAATTTACCACCCTCTGCACAGAATACTGGGTTAGGTAGGCCTTCGGTCTAATCCAGCATGGCTCTTACATGTTTTTAATCTGGTGATTTATTACCTCTCTTTCTGGTGTATGTCTTCAAATTGTTTCTGACTTGTGGCAACCTGAAAGTGACCCTGTCTTGACGTTTTCTTGGCAAGATTTGTTCTGAGAAGGTTTGCTACTGCTGTCCTCTGAGGCTGAGAGAATGTGACTTGCCTACGGTCACTCCATGGGTTGACATGGCTGAGCAGGGATTCAAACCCTGGCTTCCCAGAGTCCAGTACTCGAACCACTGGCTTTCTACCTCTCTACACCACTCAAACCAAAGCTTTTCTGGGCAGTTCAGACATGTTGGTCTTGGATAAGGATAGCTTATGGGAACCATGATCATGAGGCCTAGTAAAGTATCAAAAGAGCCAGCATGGTGTCATGGTTTGAGCATTGGACTGACTCTGGAGAGCAGAGTTCGAATCCTCACTCTGCCATGGAATCCCACTGGCTGACCTTGGGCAAGTCACATGCTCTCAGCCTCAGAGGAAGGCAAAGGCAAACCCTTGTTGAACAGATCTTGCCAAGAAAACCCTGTAAATTTAAAACTCATGGGTTGAAGATGCAATAACAAAGCAGCAAAGAACTTTTCCATTCATATCCCAGTCCCCAGTTTGGTTGATTCCTCTTTTCCATCAGTAATTTGACTGTCACGGGACCCATGAAAGGCAGAGCTCTGTGAAGAGACAGACCCCGGTGGAAAAGAGTGTTGGGACAGGAATCGCTCGGTAGCCTCAGGGATAAGACAAATGCAACATGAAAAGCTTTGCGTGGCTGATATTTTATGCCTTTCCAAAACTAGCCACATCTGTAATGCAACTTCAACAAAATGATGGGGGTGATGTGACCCTTAGGGCAGTTGGCCATTGCATGTGACACAGAGCCTTTAATTTTCTAGAACAGAATTTGAATTTGTTGAAGTGTTAAACAAGGCAGTTGATAAGGTCCTCGGGCTGGTCTTGTTACGTTTGAAGATGGTCTTGGCAAATGTTATGCCTAAAAAACTTAAGAGTGGTCTTCTTAAAAGCTCCTGCATGGAGCAAACCAAGATGCAATCTTGGAATGTCAATGTCGATTCTACTAATTAAATTGATCAGACAGGAAACAATCAAACAACCCTTGTCTATATCTTATCTAAATCTTTATCTATATATAAACTAAATACTTCCCCCAAAAGATAAATACCAAACAAGCAGCTATTATAAACCGTCACCTCTTAATCGTCAAAATATT